CTTCTCTTTCACCTCATTTGTGTTGTTCAACTCACTGTGCCTGGCAGCAGAACTGCCTAAAGCATGCTGTCGTTCTACATACAACACATGAAACAGTAAAGTGCTGTATTGCTGTACTGCATCTGATTAGCCTTGGGCAAAAAGCTACATGGTTGCTGAGCTTTTTCACTTACTCCAGCAGTAAGATCATTTGCTGGTTTTCTTCAAACGGCCTTGACACCACAGTAATTAAAAACATGCTAATATTGAGGCTGTTACATGTTTAAGATACTTCTCACATGATCACCAATTTGCACATGTTCACAACATGCTCATATAAAGATTCCTCAAGAGCTATACAGTTCTCCAGGGAGTATTGGCCATACCCAGGCCACTCATCTCACAATTTTACAGACCCTGCAACATGAAGAACCATTGGTCACTGTTGGAGCCCAAAACAGTGCTTTCTGCAGCAATCATAAATATTATTTGTGGGGGGTTAGTCATGTAACTGTAATGGGACCAGACGGTTAATATGTGAAAATGCTGGTTGTGATATCTGTCCCTTTAACACAAAGGACTACTGTATACACATTTAGCTAGTCATATAATGTCATGAGGTTTCCTTTTTATCAAAGTAGAAACACATTTGTGAAGACTATTCCAATGAGAAATAAAATCCAGTAATATTAATTACAAAAACACTAGACATCAATTGTTTTATTTTTAATAGCTTATTTGCCTTTTTTTAACAAAAAAATTAAAAGTATAACATAAATCTTACAGCTATACAGTACATTGGACAGTTCGAAGGACAAAGTAAAATTAATATTAATTATTAATTAAAAAAACACTAGACATCAATTGCTTTATTTTGAATGGCTTATTCATTTTTTGTTTTTTTTTTTTTTTACAAAAAAATGTAAAGTACAACACAAAACGTACAACTATACAGTACATTGCACAGTTCAAGGGACAAAGAAACAGCACTCTTCATGGGTTATTTGACATTACAATAACATAATTGCACTCAGGTGTCTGTAAAAGACATCCAACATTAGTAAAGGAGTGGAAAATAACAAAATAAAGGAAACACACTGATCCTAAGGAGGAGATACAGGTATAATTAGTTATTAACTAACCATGTCTCTGATGAATAATAACAGAATCATTGGGGCTGATTTAATAAAGAAGTAGAGCATGTTTACTTGGTGGTTAATACCTAACCACATGCAAAATTAAAAAGAAAACAGGAGGTTTAGTGTACATGATTAGAAAATTAAAGAGAATAGGCCTTCACGTGTTCAATAAGCAAAGGGAATGTTTTCTACTCCTTTGGTAAACCTTCTCTGTTGCACTCTTCCTACTTCTTACTGCTATCTCCAAAACTACCAATTGGATTCATACTTTCAGCTCAGATATGGATCTGAATGGTAGCTGAGGAAAAGGAACTTCAGCTTTTAGAAGAATCTCACTGATATAACAAGCCTATGGTTCTTAAATCATGTGTAGCTATTTCAGTTTATCCAGTAGCAATGTGGATAGCTCTCTATAGTATTTGATATATGATTTTATTTATTTATTTTGTTTTTTTTTTTATGGTCGTAGTAAATAAACCTTCCTCGATTTAAAAAAAAAAAAATCCCATCCAACCAATTACTATTTTATACTTTCCTTCCAAAAGCTATTAGTGATTCCTTATAAACTTGTAAATTATTTTGATAAATGCTCTCCTAAAACTTTCATGGCATAATGGATAGATAATAGGGTTTATTGAGGAATTTATCCACAGCAACCAAAACGTAATATCATACCAGTAAGAAGCAATACAATAATCATGGCAGGCAGCACGAGCTGTCATAAGTAGGGAATAAGGAGCCCAGCAAATACAAAAAACACAAACTAAAATAAAGAGAGATCTGGCAATCTTTTTATCCTGAGATAACTTCACAATTCGCACATGGTTTGTTTGTTCCTGGACATTTTCTAACCAAGTCCTAGTCTTTTTTGAAAAATGTCTTTTTAGCACTTGTGGTAAACATGCCCTGACCACATTTCTTTCTGTTTCTTGTTGGTCACTTACCCTATTAGGGATAGGCTTTGCTGGTATTATGTATGGTGTTTGGTGCAACTCTCCTCTATTAGAAAAACCTGGATATACGGCAGTACAGCATTTTGATCTACTCCTTGTCCTGATGTTCCAATAAAGACCCAGATTGAAGAATGAAATGCTTAATAAAGGAAGTATAAAATCAAAAATTGATGCTGCCAGAAGAAAGTGCCAGTCATAATAGTAGGCAGGTAAGCAGAGGTCTTCAGAAAAGGAGCTGTCACTGTGTAAGTATTCCCAGAACAGAATAGCTGGGCTGTATAGAAGAGAGGACAGTATCCAAACTGTAGCCATTGTAAGCACTGTCTTACAATGACGGTACTGCTGAGAGCGGTATGTGACCTGGACAAGTGGATAAAAAAGGTGGTTAAATATTTTATGAATGCAGACATTACATAGTTGGTAAGGTTGCATAAAGTCACCAGCCTATCCAGTTCAACATGTGTGGGTGTGTATTATGTCTCTACCAATTCCCATATCCTTGTATATTGTGTTTGCTAAAGTACTATTATGTCTCTACCAATTCCCATGTCCCTGCATATTGTGTTTGCTAAAGTACTATTATGTCTCTACCAATTTCCATGTCCCTGCATATTGTGTTTGCTAAAGTACTATTATGTCTCTACCAATTCCCATATCCCTGTATATTGTGTTTGCTAAAGTACTATTATGTCTCTACCAATTCCCATATCCCTGTATATTGTGTTTGCTAAAGTACCCACCTAGAAGTTTTTTTTTAAATTATTGACACTTTCCACTGACACCACTGATTGTGGAAGGGAGTTCCACATCCCTAATGCTCTAACAGTAAAGAACCCAGTTAGGCTACTGACTAGAAACAAACACAGGCTGGGGTTTTACAACAGGAAATACACTTGTCAGGGGCGGAGCCTGACTATGGCGGCGGCGGAGAGCTCGTGGTAGGAGCTCCCGCACGGGGCTCCTCCGACCGATCCCCCTTGGACCTTAAACTCCCCCCTTGAAGCATGGAGCCCTAGAAGGTAGAGACCTACCTCGACTGGGCGGGCTCACTTGGCTCCCTTGGCTGAGTGGCTGCCCGCGGGAAGAAGAGTCGGGAACGGAGACCAACAGAGAGAGGCAGGGACGCTGAACCTGGTTGCCGGGAAACAAGGAGGTGCGGCCGGGACACGTGACCGGCCACGGTGCATCCCTGGGAGGCAAGGAAGCCGGCCGTCCGGCCAGAGGCTGACAGTGAGCAGGAGAAATACCGTCCTGTCGGACGACCAGCCACCCCTGGAGCCCTAGCGAGGGGTTGATGGTGAGCCTGCCCAACAAAGAAGAAGAGAGTGGAGGAAAGTCCTGGAGGGTCCCCCTGAGAGGAAGAGAGCTGACCTACTGAAGGAGCTGGAGGATGGAGCCTGGAGCCATCTCACGAGAAGCGCAGGAAGGGTGAGTGAGTCTGGCGGTGGCCCCAAATATAAAAACTGTATAGAGCTGGAGGAAAGCAGGGAGAGAGAGAAAAGGGGGGGACCCCCAGAGAATATAAATAAGGAGAAGAACGCAAGGTGCAGGCAAAGGCATACAGAAAGGTGGGCAGACAGAGCTGGGATTTCTATCTCTATACCTTATTAGTTTCTTCTTTCTGTAAAGCACAAGTTTATGAGAGAAAAATAAAAGATACAGAAGAAATGAAAAATAAAAGTGCAAAAGGAACCGGGCCTAAAGGGACCCAAACGGGGACAATTAAAAAGTACACATCCCAGGGAAATGTGACCCCAGAAAGGCCCCAGAGCAGAAATGACAAAGGAGAGTCTGATTTAAGTATGCAAAATAGTCCTAAACAATCAATGGAATTGGATATCAGCAGTCAACAAATATCAGAGATAGAAAAAGATCTACAAATCCCAAATAAAAAAGAGATGACAGAAATGTTTAAAGATCTGGAGAGAACAATAAAGCAAGAAATGGTAAATATTCAGAATGACATGGGGCAGTTGTTGCTAAGAGTGGAAGAAATGGAGCAGAAAGTTAAAAATCAAACCCAGATTATTTCTGAATTAGAGAAGAAGATCAATATGGAAAAAGCTCAGGAAAAATTGCAGTAGAAGGCGGAAATTCAAGAGAATAGAGAAAGAAGGAGAAATATAAGGATAAGAGGGGTACTGGAAAGTTTAAAAGGAGAAATATTGGAAGAGGTGGTTTGCAAAATACTGAACACATTTATAATGGGAAACTCTGAAATGGAAAGGACTAATATAGAAGGAATCTCTAGAAATGGGAAACTCCAGGGGAACCATGAGAAGGACAGGTCAAGAGACATACTTGTTAAATTTTATGAACTGCAGCAAAGGGAAAGAATCTGGAGGAAAACTAAGGGAAAACCAGTAATACAATATGGAGAAATGGATATCCAAATATATGCTGACTTGTCATCAGAGACTCTCCAGAGGAGGAGAGCTCTGAGGCCTTTGCTGGAGCAGATGAAAAAACAGAAGGTGCAATATAGATGGGGGGGTACCGGAGTGTTTAATAGGATGGAAAAATGGAATAACAGCCCATTTGAGGTTCCCAGAGGACTTAAGAAATTTTTGCGATAGACTTGAAATGCAGAGAATTGAAATTAATGGTTGGGAAGAAGAATCTGGGGGAAATAGATCAAAAAGAGGGGAGGAGTGGAGACGGGTGGGGGGAGGTAGGGCAGGGAGGGAGAGTGGAGGGGAGAGAAGTCTTTTTTTTTTTTTTCTCTCTCTCCTTGCTCCCATTCCATCGCCTTTTCCTCCCTTGCCCCTCTAGCTTAACTCCTTTTTCTTTCTTTAGAAGTATAAGTAGAAAGGGGGTCAAGGGGGAGATCCGGAGGGAGGGGAGGATGTCCATAGGAGGAGTGTAGCCCTAAGGATTAAGTCAAAGGTGGATGCTATCTCCACAAATGATGGTTAGGCAAAGTGAAGGCCTAAAAAGAGGGGGGAGGAGGAGGGGGGGGAGAGGTGGTGAGGGAGGGGGGGAAGGAGGGGGGAGGTAGAGGAAAGGGATTGAGGGGAGTACTGAGAGAGGGGGGGAGGGATAAGGGGAGAGAAAAGTGTAGTGGGATAAAAACGCTCTATAGGAATAAGAAAGAGGAAGGGAAGGAGGAAGAAGGAGTCAGCAGGAAAAGAGTAAGATAGAAGAAATCCAATATATAACCTACAATGTAAAAGGGTTAAGCTGTCCAGGAAAGAGATTTAGGTTATTTAAAGAACTTCAACATAGAAAATCCTCAGTGGTATTTTTGCAGGAAACACACCTAGAGATAGAGTCGAAGGTTAGATTGAGGACTAGATATTTTCCAACATGGTTTTATGCGGACTCACCAACTAAAAGAGCAAAAGGAGTTGCTATAGGCTTTGCAAAGAATCTAAGGTTCGAGGTGGAGGAGAGATTAACGGATCTGGAGGGAAGGTTTTTATTTTTGAGAGGTAAATTACAGGGAATTGAGTGTACAATAGCAAACCTATACAGTCCAAATAAGAGGCCGGAGAGGTTTATGAGAGAAGTGTTGAAGAGATTGATGGATTTTAAAAGGGGGTGTATGATAGTAGCGGGAGACTTTAACATCTGTATGGACCCGCGGATGGACACCACTTCCTGTGTGAGGAGGGAGGAAAGCAAGTCCTTGAGAATGTTAAAGAAATTGTTGCATGAGTGTCAGCTGGTGGACATCTGGAGAATTAGGAATATGAAGGAGAGAGATTATACTTTCTTTTCGCAGGTTCATGAGACTTATTCTAGACTAGATTACATATTAGTAGAACATCGAATGATAGAGTTGGTGGTAGAAGTAAAAATTGAAGGAAGAATCCTGTCGGATCATGCCTCAGTTGCAATGTAGTTAAGATGGGGTAGAGAGGGGAGAGAAGGTTATGTATGGCGGTTGAATGAGGCACTTCTCATGGATGAAGAGATTGGTCAAAGAATTGAGAGGAAAATTGAATGGTTTTTTGAAGAGAATGAAACAGAGGATGTGTCGGTTGCAATGGTGTGGGAAGCACATAAAGCTTACATCAGAGGTCTACTCATTGCAATGGGGGCAAAAAAGAAAGGAGAGAAAAGATAAATAGATTATTAAATGAAATATATGATCTTGAACAGGTGCATAAAAGGGAAAGATCTAAGGAGATAATGCAGATGTTAATAAAGAAGAAAGAAGAATTAGAGAATGTAATGGAGGAGGAAAAAAGAAGAGTCTTTAATAAAATAACAAGTGAAAGGTATAGATGGGGAGATAGGCCGGGAAAGTATTTAATGAGAACTTTAAGAAAGAAGAAAAATAGAAATTATATTGAGAAAATAAGAAATTTGTACACTCAACCAAGGATATTGCTAGAATATTTAAAGAGTATTATAGTGAGCTGTATAATATCATACCTCAGGATACGTTTAAGAAAACGGAAACAGTAAATAGAGGGGAAAGAAAGACATACCTAGAGGAGGCAGGCCTACCGAAATTAAGAGAAACACAACTGAACTCTTTAGAGGCAGAAATAGCTTCAGAGGAAATAAAAATAGCGTTAAAAAGCATGGCGGGAGGGAAAAGCCCGGGTCCGGGTGGATATACGGCTAAATACTATAAAAAATATAAAGAGCTTTTAATAACCAAAATGAAGATTTACATGAACGCCTTGGGGAATGGGATGGAGAAAAAGGGGAGAGTCTTTACAGGCTAATATAGTATTGATACAGAAGGAAGATAAAGACCCCTCGCAATGTGCGAGTTATCGTCCAATAGCGCTGTTGAATGTAGACACTAAAATATATGCAAAGGTTCTGGCAAATAGATTGAAAGAGCTGATGCCGGAGTGGATACATGGAGACCAGGTGGGGTTTGTCTCGGGAAGAGAGGGTAGAGATAATGCTTTGAGATCACTGTTGCTTATACAGGAGGGTAAAAAAGGGAAAACCCCCCAATGATACTGATGTCGATAGATGCTGAGAAGGCATTCGACAGAGTAAGTTGGGGTTTTATGATGGACACTTTGGAAGCGTTAGGAATGGGAGATAGAATGAGAGGGTGGATTGGAGAGTTATATAGAGGGCCTACCGCTACCATAATGGTAATTGGAGGAAGATCAGAGTATTTTAAGATGTCAAATGGTACATGACAGGGATGTCCATTGTCTCCATTGTTATATGTGTTATCACTGGAGCCCTTACTGTCCATGATTAGGAAGAACATAGACATAAAAGGAATAAAGATAGGTGATAGAGAACATAAGGTAGTGGCTTATGCGGACGACCTGATGTTTTATGTTGGAAACCCTAGAACATCACTTCCAAATTTAATGAAAGCATTGAGGGAGTACGGAGACCTGTCGAACCTGAAAATTAACCCAACAAAGACCGAAATCTTAAACATCATTCTCAAAAACAGCGAAAAGGAAAAACTACAAGAGGAATTCCCTTTCCTTTGGAGAGACAAAGAATTAAAATATCTAGGAATAAAACTATCAGCCTCAATTAAGAACCTTTTATAAAGCCAATTATATAACGTTATTAAATGAGATTAAGGAGGAGCTGATGAGAGTGGGAAATGGAAACCCATCGTGAATAGGTCGCATAAACTTGATAAAGATGGTAATTGTCCCCAAAGTATTATACAAATTTCAAATGATCCCAATCAAACTCCCAGAGGCATATTTTAAAGAACTGAGGAAAATGATAATAAAATGTATATGGAGGAATAAAAAGCCTAGAATAGGTTATGAAACGTTGACTAGAAGTAAAGAAAGAGGAGGATTGGGGGTACCAGATTTTAGGAGATATTACAAAGCGGGGATTATCACGAGAATCTTCGACTGGACTCATAATCCGGAGAAATTTGGGTTAAAATTGAGAAAGCACTGAGTGGAATAAGTTTAAGTAAAAGTATCTGGGTACCTGCACAATACAGAGAATTAGAGGAGAGCACAAGCACGTACACTCTTAATATTTTAAAAGAATGGGATTTATTACACAGACAAAAGGGGTGGGTTTTTAATTCACAATTAATACCACTTAGGAACACAAAATATTTCATCCCGGGTAAGGATAGCATAGCAGGGAAATGGATTATAAAACAGGAGGCGCAACTGAGAGATATAATGGTAGGAGAGGAAATAGGGTCATACAAGGATATGGAGGAAAGAAAGGGTGAAGTCTTTAATAAGATGGATAGACTAAGATATTACCAAGTGAAGAATTTTTTTGAAAGCCTTCCAAAGCCTATAAGAACTAGAAAAGACTGTAATCCATTTGAGAGAATATTTGAGTCACGGGGAAATGGTAGACACGGAACGGCAAAAATACACAAGATATTAATGGAACTTGACACAGACACAAAATTAATGCACATAGAGAAATGGGAAAGAGATATGGGAAGAAAAATAGAGGAGGAGGAGAAGAGGATAATGTTTACATTAATTCACGAAAATATTCGTATGAGAGAAGTAGAAATAAATTATGTGTTTGAATAGATGGCACATTACTCCCAACATGGAGCACAAGATGAATACGGAAATTTCACAGATGTGTTGGAGAGGCTGTGGAGAGGTGGGCACGTGGTATCATATGTGGTGGGAGTGTCCAGAAATACAGGTGTTCTGGCGAAGGATAGTTTATTTGATAGGGAAAATTACTAAAATCAATATAGGATTAGATCCAGAATTATGCCTCCTCCATATCTCAGAACTCTCAGTGAAAGCATATAAGAGTTCGGGGATATGGCATTACTTAACCGCAGCAAAGAGCCTGATACCCAGGTTCTGGAAGAAAAGAGAGGTGCCAACTGAGGAGGATTGGATGGGTAGAGTAAATCAGATTTCCGGGACAGAAAGATTGTATTATACGCACGAGGATAAGTTGGAGATGTATAATAAAAAATGGAAAGGATGGGAAAAATATAGAGAAATGGTGAAATATATGAAGAGATAATGTCCCTGGAAGTCGGTTTAGAATTGGATTCAGGAACAACAGAATTATATGGAGTTAATGAGAGAAGAGAGAATGTGGAGCGTGGGAGAGAGAGGGAAGGAGGGGAGGGGATGGGGAGATAGGGGGGGGAGTATGGGAGGGGGGGATGGTAAGAAAAGAAAGTCATATATAGGAATAATTTATGTAAGGAGAAAATACGTTTTTGATAATTATTTTAATAGAAATGTTGAAATGACTTGTATATGAATTGAAAAATTAATAAATATTTATATAAAAAAAAAAAAAAAAGGAACCCAGTTAAACCGCTTCTCATCCAACTTCATTGACTGGCCATGTGTTTTAAATGACTTAGACTGATTAGTTTTCTCCCCTATGCTAGAACCACCATTTAGATATTTGTACATTGCGATCATGTCTCCTCTCAAGCGTCTCTTCTTTAGGGAAAATCAGTTTAAAATGGTAGTAAAGCCACTTCTTTGATTTTCACCTATAGGTAAGTTTATAATAAAGTTTATCTGTAGGTACAGTAAATGTCTCCTAAACGTGCACTGTGTAGGAGATATTTACATTTGCAGCAGCTTGTGATGTCTCTGGCACATGCACTCTGAAAGAAGGGCGTACCAATGCGTTCCATCGGAGCTCTGTGATGTGGCCATGACTCCAGCATGCATGCGCAGGAGTGACGTCATCGCTGCTCAGCCATTCATACGGCTGGAGCCCATGAACCCAGCAGGAAGACCAAGAGAAGATGGAAGCGCCCTGACCCCTGACAATGCACTACTGGAGGGCTTTGGTTTCAGGTAAGTCTGTAATATTGTGCTAGTATGTGGTGCATACTAGCACATTATGAGTAAAACCACTGGGGGCCCATTTGTTTTCTTCTTTGGTGCGTTTTACTTCCACTTTAACATGTGTAGCCATTCCTCATAACTAAGATCTTCCAGCCACCTTATTAGCTTTGTTGCCCTCTGAGCTGTCTCTAGTTCTACCACATCCTTCCTGAGGACTGGTGTCCAGAAAGCATACTCAAGATGCAATCGAACTGGAGTTTTGCAAAGTGGTAGAATTATAGTT